GAATAATGAGAAAAGAGCAACAACGGTAAAAGCTTTTTTGTTTAATTTACCACCCATAGTTTTTGAAATCTTTTTTCAGTGTTCTTTTCTAGAGGGAGGAAAAAGAGACACCGCAACACACCGATGCACACGTCCGCCACTGGCATCAACCTTGAGCCATATTTTCCAAGGTCTTCAACCAGCAAGTATCCGCATCTCTCGGACCCCAACCAGGTAGTTGACAACAATCGGCCGAGGCCAGCTGTTTCGTCAGCGTTTTTATGCGGCTTCCCCATGTTGTAGGCTGTCCACCTGACCGCCTTTTCCAGCCCTGTCCAGCAACCGCAAACAACACACGACCCAGGTAACGCTGGACAGGCATGCGCAATACGTGTCCCAACCACCGCAGTTGATGCAGTGAGACGAGATCCTCGAGCGAGTGGCTTCCACGTCCCAAGACACGCTGTCTAACTTCCACATTGCTTACGTGGTGCTGCCACCACACACGGGCAATGGACCGCAGATAGCGGTGCGCGAAGACGGGTGGCCTGCGCAAGTCATCCTTACGAATGGGTCAGATCTCGCATCCGTACAACAGTTCCGCATGAACAGTTGCACAATAGACACGCCCTTTGATGGAGAGACGAATGTCATGGCGACGCCACAAGCGCCTCAGCCCAAAATACCGAGGCGTGCTCTCGACATGCGCATCGAAATCTCGTCTCCAACAGCCTCGCCAACAGTGATGCAATTTCCCAAGTAGACAAAGCTCTCCACAACCTCTAGTGTCTCACCACCAAGAGTGAGTGCAGGTAGAGGCACCTGCCAGTCTTGGAAAAGAGCCTTTCAATTGGCTGGTGAAAAGTACATACCATACTTTGGTGCTTCATTCGCCAAGCGGTTTAGTGCAAGTTGGACGACGTGTGGATCGTCACCCAGCAAGTCGATATCATCAGCATAATCCAAATCAACAACTCGATTACCAGGGAGGAGCTCAACGCCAGCGTTCCAGGAATCGCCTAGAGCATTATTCAGGGCATCCTCAATGGCAAAGTTGAATAGGAACGGAGAGATAGGGCATCCTTGTCGAACTCCACTGGAGGCCACAAAGGTAGGCGAAAGGTTGCCATAAGCCCTAACCCTGCCCGAGGTCAAATTATAGAGAGCGAGGGGGCACCATTCCTCAGTAGGCAGTGCCACATTACCGTACGATCGACAGAATCGAAGGCTGCATGGATAACCAAGAACACAGCAATCGTTAGCCTCTAATACGCATGGCTGAGCTCGAGGATCTGGCGGAGTGTGAAGATTTGATCAATGCAGCCGCGACCAGGGTGAAACCCAGCTTGTTCTTCTCGTTGCAACGATTCGCACCTTGAGAATAGTCTGAGAAGTATGATGGACACCAGCAGCTTGCAAACGACGGGGACTAAACTTATTCCTCTGTAGTTGGAGCAGATTGTGCGCAGGCCCTTCTTGAAGAGGGGGACAACTATCGATTCACTCCAAGCTGGTGGGACTTCCTCTTTCGACCAAATTTTCGAAAACAAAGTGGTGAGTTCTCGAACCAGCGAAGCGCCATCATCTTTGAATAGAGCTGGAGGAACACCATCAGGGCCGGGGGATTTATAGCGCTTTATGTGCCGGAGCTCCTACTCGAGTTCCTGGTAAAAGGGAGGATCTGTGTGGGTAGACCACTCGGCCCCAGCGCGAGCGCCAGAGATAGCAGATGGAGCTGGGGGCCAACCAAACTGCGAGCCAAAATGTTCGGCTCATCGCTCCAACCGTCCTTAAAGATTGGTGATTAAGGTGCCATTCTCTGCGCATATTGTTTCACTTATACCAGATGGAACACCTTCGGTGACTCGAATGAGATGGAAAAGTTTTCTGGTATTACCAGAGAGACTAGCAAGCTCCATATCCCTAGCAGCGAAGAGTCGGTAAAATGAGCAAACATACTGGTAATGCCATTTGGATTGACTTGCTGAACCTCTTCCTGAGAACACCAAGCTCCACGATCACTATGTAGACTTTGTTTCAACCGCCGACTGACAGGACGGCGCACTTTGTCATGATTAGACTCCGCTGAGATATTTCTGCGATGGTCAAATAGATCCAAAGAGCACATGGAGATCCAGGCCTTCATTGGGCGCTGAGCCAGACTGACTGCTCGGAAGCAGTCATGGTCCTCTGCAAGAACGTCCAGTGTTAAGCAATTTCTCGCGGTGGGTCGTAGCTGAGTGGATCGGTCAAGGAAGATCGGTAATTTTGCTGAACCGAGAGAGTAGATAGTCTATTTGTATTTACCTTACAGTGTTTCATTTTCAGGGATCCTCTGAAACTCTTGCAGATGTTCGCACATATAATGAACATGGTCTGAGTCAATAGATGTGGGCCAGATTGATCTGAAATCTTTTTTGTACTACCTAAGCATCTGAAAGTGACTGTAATATGATCAATCTGAAACCATGAATGAGCAGAAAAGGACCACCAAGAAGCGGAACGCCTCCTAGAATGCCAGAAGCTGGTGATCGAGAAAAACGGACGATTGTCTTCTCACAGTGTGAGAAGTCTCTCTCTCCATTATCTGAGCGGCTCTCATCGATATCATTGTGTCCACCGAGGTGACTTTCGCAAGATAAGTGGCGACCGACCCGTGCGTCGAGATCCCCAGCAAAGCCAAAAATATTGGATTTGTAGGCTGTGCTCAAAAGCTGGTGAAATTCACGAAAGAAATCGTCCATAAGCGAGTCGCAACTGCAGTCGGATGGGACGTAATCTGAGATCACAAACAAGTTGCGTCTCTCCTTATGACATCTGTTGATCCTGCATGATCCCCGAAGCGGAAATACGCACAGTCCAGTATTAATCGGGTACTAGTCCAGCAGCGCCGTCTCAGCTTTGCTGCTGTGCTATACCAAAGTCAGCTAAGCCAACCGCAGCTGTTTCTGTCACCAGATAGACAAAAGCAAAATATGGCTCCGTGGTCGTTGGGAGACCTTAATGCAATCGCTACTGCGATCTTGCAAGCGTGTTTCGGAAAGGCAGCAAACATCGATGGCGAGTGATTCCGAGGTGCGCGCAAGACCAGCCTGTTGCCCGATCTGCATGAGAATACGTATTTGGAAGCATACCAGACGGAATGAGGGCCAACGCCGAAGAAGAGCCGTGGGGCGAGCTCTACGGGCGTCGAGGAAACCATTTCGAGTAGATCAAGAAAACAGAAATCAGCTGGTAACGGATAACAGTGATTGGTAACAAGGGAAAAGGTGATGTGTGAAGGTGTTTGAGTAGTGGAAGGAAAAGCAACTGAGCGCGTACCACCTGACCAAGATTAACTGAATGTGATGTTCCAGCTCGAAAATGATCTTTCAGTTGAAAAGAGGGATGCTACTCTTTAGCATTGTTATATTCTGCCTCATCCGCTAACCCACTAGAGTAAATTGCTTATCTGCTGTAGTAAGGTTCCAAATTTAGTATTACACCATTTCGACAGTTCAAATTTCGCTGTACACGTACAGAACACAGTCGCTAGTGCCAAGAAAACGAAAGCGATATCCTCAAGCTGTTAAACTCAACAAAGGGCATACTTATATTGTTCTACAAATGTACACGCCCCATGTCAGAACACAGAGCAATGGTGTACTGTAACGTACGACAGTGTGATACAGTGGCGATGAAGTGTGCACGGTAACCAGACTGATTTTGGACTCCACTCAAAAAGTTGCTTATCCAGGACGCTGGAACTCGACTCGGTCGAGCTTATAAGGCTTGAAATTATCTTTACATTTTTTAGATGTGATACATTGACGTGTTCACGTACCCGAATATTCGCCCCAATGGCAGTAAACTGTTCGTTACGAAATAAGAACTAAGGAGGTTATCCTACCAATACTTGTCAAGCACAGCGTTACGTATGAACATGTACTTGAATAAATGACACCATCACGAGCAAGCGCTTTCGATTCACTGATGCGTTAACCGCTAATGAAGTTACTGATAGATCGTATTAAGTAGTTTTACTTAAGCTGTGGCATGTGTTCTAGCTACATTAGTATGTTGTTCGTCTGTACGTTATAAAACGCGAAGTGTGGCAAAATAGCTTATGAGAGGGTGTAGAGACGCTTCACGAAGCATTTAGTATTCATTGCAATAACTGACCATTAGCGATGTTAAAAAGCTGGCCTTAACTTTTATAGTTTCAGAGGATAATAAGCAATCTCTGCAAACCATGTTGACATCATGCGCTCACGACCGTCTGAAATTAGTGTCATCCGGACTTTCTTCGGGCGCCTATGGAGCAATTATATATATATATATATATATATATATATATATATATATATATATATATATATATATATTTGCAGAAGTCTACGAATAGACATAATGCCATCAGAAACCATGGGATTCAAACGAAGGTACAGAAATAGTAAAATAAAACACAACACAGCAATGTCCATGGTTTCCTCAGAGGGCGAGATACTACCCGGTTGTCCAAGCCGAAGTAGGGTGTTGACTTAGGGGACACCACTCCGAGCCTTTGGCTGAATAGCCTGTCCGCAATGCAGCGGAGCGAATTCAGCGAATCGCGCCCATTGGGAGCCGGTGACAGATTGCCCAGTTCATACGCCTTTCGTTTGTTCCTTTGTCAAACAGGGTCACAATGCTCCCCAGAAGTACAG